CATCATTTAGGCCTAAATGATTTTAATGACCGTAAAAACTAGGCTACTTATTTTAGGAACTTTTTGTAACACTTTTACCGTACGAATCTTTTATGTCGCCCTATTTCTAAACTCACTGCCACTTGGTTTTTTGCTCATTTCACAGAAAAAGGGTGTGATATTCCAACGTAAAATAACATTCTTCAAACGTAAATAAAATCATAAGCAAAAACACGGCCAGTATCTTTACTTGCTAACAAATTGATACTGTAATAAGTTTCTCGCCATTTGACAAAAGCAACTGACATTGAGTAGCCTATAATGAAAAAAGGACATAACAAATTAATAGGCCTAGCCTACAAATAAAGACAGACGATTAAGTATAGTTAATGATAAGCCTAATATGCAAACAGTGGCAGTGACGAGTCATGAGTGGAAGACGAAGTGAGGAGGTTTCAGATATTTTCCAATTAGTGTCTGTTACTAGCGCACCCAACAAAACAAGAAAAACTCTTGCGCCCCTGGACCAGGGCCCATTTTTAACCGCGGTACTGGGTAAGTTAAAACTTTCATCCCTAGATCTTAGAAAGACAGCTGTGATGTCATAGGCATATTTGATATACATTTTGATAGCGTTGTTACCCTTCAAAGTGCCATCTATAAATAAATCGTACCTTAGGCTATTATGTGCCAAGCCTTGATAAAAATTACTCTTGACTTATGCAAACTTTCGTTCAAGTTTATTAATTACTAAACGTAGCTGCGATGTTGTTTCATAAGTTAGACCTAAGTTAATCGTAAACAAAAAAAAACATACCGGTAGCTAAACCTAACCTAACCATAACCTACTGATCGCAAATGCGGCACCTTAAGTTATTTGTTGGACATTTCCTTTCGATAGTTTTGAAGGACGTAGGCCTCATTATAAAGCTGCAGCCTTCTGGGGTTACAGTTCCGCAGAGAACCTGCGATCTTATTAAGTTATCAGATCAATAACGATTTATCAATATTTTTATAAATATTAAGTAACATAGGCCTAGCCTAGGCCTAAGTTTAGGCCTAGTTAGGTCTAACTTTAATATTGCATTGACTTTAATTTTCCCAGTTAGCTTATACATTAAGTTATAGGCCTAAGAGGCTAACTTTATGTTTTCTTTTGTTGCTTTTTCATTAAATAGGTTAGGCTATATTTTGCTATAGTAAGTTACCGTCTCAGGCTATATTTTGTTTGTGGTTAAATATGCTCATAGGCTAGTTAATATCGATAGAAACGTAGGCAAAACAAATCATAGGTCAATTTGATGTTTACATTGGGAAGAAGAATAAACATTTAATTTAACTTACCAAAGATATTTATTATTAAGTCATCCATCTGTTCACAGATCACAGGTTCTCTTCGGAACTGTAAGTTAAGTTACCCCCTTCTGGTCTTAAAATATTCATCTGCCTACAAGACTAGGCCTGAATTTTAACATAAACTTACCAATTAACATCATTTTTAGTCTTAACTGTAAGTTAGGCCTAGGCTAACTTATGACAGGTTCTAAGTAACTTAGGCATAAGTTTAGCTACGGTATTTGTTAAGTAGACCTAGGCCTAGCTTGTCTCCAAGCTAAATTAGTTCAGACCAAGGACATATTGCAATGAATTAGGTCTAGGTTATCTCCTGAAGTTGGCTTCCTTAGTTTTGTAAACTACAGCCTAATTTTTCCCTAAAAGAGCCTCCATCCGTAGAGTTTTTAAGGGGTTAGGAAGACTAACTTAATTTGTAACCTATTTCCACTTATAAAGTATTTAAATTAGATTACCACCATTCGAGTTATTAACAAAACATATGCTAAATCTCTTTTTTAATACCTTACAATAGGCCTAACGATAATAATTTGTGTAACTTACCTTAGTCCTTAACTCAAGTTAGTCGAATCGCCACTGAAGTTAAAAAGTCGAAGATGTAACGCAAATCTTAAAGAATATAATGTAAAAAGTAACTAATAGACCTAATTAATAAGTAAATAATAACAAAACAACGAATTCTTCACGTGTAACACTGAAAATCAGAAGTAGATGCTCTAGTAGAACAAAAGGGAATTTTGGATTACTTAACTTCTAAACACAGCCACAAGGACAACGTTTGTTGTGATTGTGAGTTGTGAGACAAAGACAGACAAACAATATGGCGGTGGCGGATCGGATGCTGACCCGCTGACCCCCGCTGTTTTGCTCCCATAATGCATCAGCGAACATCGTCGAACCTATGAAAACGCAGAGACTCGGGTATCTCGCGCGGCAGAATATTTTGTTCATCATCTATGAATATTATAGTACAGTATGTGTTACAAATACATTTTACACAGGATGTTGAAAAAATGCAGGGAAATAAATACAACACTACAATTTTTTTCGTATTTTTCTATTGATATAAAATACATATATTATCTGTATCATCAATACCTTTACTTATTTTACTGCATTCTCGAAAGTTAATTTATGCCCTCAAAACAACATTTAGGTGAAAATTTACACTTTGTTTCTTCATTTTACAGTATTTTATGCAAAATTTATTTTGGATGAAACCGTATTTTCATATTGGTATATAATATGCATATTATCTGTATCATTAATACAAATACGTTGGTTATACCTTAATCCCGAATATTTACGTATTATATACATTGCTTGCTACATGGGTAGTTGCTGGGCAGCGGTCTATTGCAATTCATTAGGGATATACTGCTTGTATATTTAATGATATGTACTGTATAAATGTTTTAATTAAATAAGCGATTTTCGGTACTAGGGCTGGAAAATTTTAATCACAACTATAGCTGCCATTTCGACCCTGGACAGCAATGCGTAGCTTTCAGCCTCCAATTAACGTCTGTAAAACTACTAAAACATCGTATTGCGGTGAAAAATATTTGCCAATCGTACTCAATCGACTCGGAACACTGCAGTTCCTGATTTAATTAAGGGTATTATTAAAAAGTACTCGTGCAGTAATCAATTAAACAGGGTAACGAATTGAAGGATAGATACAACTAGACTATAAGGACGCAAAATACGCGTAGGTACAACTAGACGTAGGGACTACTAGACGGAGGGACCACTAGTCGTAGAGACTACTAGTCGTAGGGACTACTAGTCGTAGGGACAACTGGTCGTAGGGACAACTGGTCGCATCCGTACAAGCTAGGTGATACTACTTGTCGGTGGGATACACGTCTAGTTGTACCTACGTCTAGTTGTACCTCCTAAAAATCTGCAGGTACAACTAGTCGGGTGAGCCACCGTCTACTTGTACCTACGTCTAGTTGTACCTACGACTAGTTGTCCCTAGGCCTCGAGGTACAAGTAGACGGAGGGACAACGAGACGGAGGGACAACGAGACGGAGGGACAACGAGACGCGGTCCCGAAGTAGCTATTGCCGTAGGTGGCACGGTAAGACCTAGGCCCGGGACCGATTTACTTTTTCATTTTGATGTCCCCAGAGGCCAAAAACACTATTCGTTCAAATTTTTATATATGTATGTATGTATGTATATATATATACGTCCGTGAACGCGATAACTTAAGTAATTTTTGTCCGATTTTGATGAAATTTGGTTTGAAAGTGTAAGGCGGGATAAAATGAGTTCGCGAACCAGCATGATCGGACAAGTTATTGTTTATGATTAGATCGTATTATTTGGTTAAAGAGGTTTTAAATGGCTGTAATAACGGGAAACAAATTGTAAACAAAACACGACCTCTACATAAACCGTACATGAACTAACAATAAAATTGTCTTCAGCTGTTCCATAAGGATGAGAAATCTACTAAGGGAGTATGTTTTATCTATGGTCTTACCGTGCCACCTACGGTAATAGCATGTAATAGCTACTTCCCTATAGGGAAATTCGCTAAAAACAGTAAATGGACGTTAGATACTGATATGATGGAGTGATGGAGCATTGAAGCCTATTATTTCATCACAACAAGTTTTATTAAATAGTTAGTTATAGTCCATTTTTTAAAATTCAAATTTAAATTAGAAAAATATTGTTGGTTTACTATTTTGTTTGCTCTGCTCTATTATTGAACAAAACATACTCCCTTAGTAGATTTCTCATCCTAATGGAACAGCTGAAGACAATTTTATTGTTAGTTCTGTACGGTTTATGTAGAGGTCGTGTTTTGTTTACAATTTGTTTACCCTTAATACAGTCATTTAAAACCTCGTTTAACCAAATAATACGATCTAATCATAAACAATATATTGTCCCCTAGTTATTTAACCAAACATTAAAGCACAAATCAAGAAATTAACCCTAAAACAATAGAAACAAAACTATGTCGACACTAGCGCCCAGTGTGGCGTACATGAACTAGACATGAAAAACGAGCTTCAAAATTTACAATGGGATGAGAAGTCTACTCTCCCACTCACACACCTAACCTAGTCTTACTCTATGGCGGTTTATTACTCAATGCTCTATCCAAAAGGATTTGGCTTCTGGATGGAACATGGAACTGGCTTCTGCTAAGTTTTGTTCTTTGTTGTTATTATTTTATATCATAAAAACTTCATTCACACTATTCACAGTCTTCAGTCTTGCTAAGTCAGTCAGTAGGCTAGGCCCTAGTCAGTAGTTAGTCAGCAGACTAGTCAGAAAAAATCAGTCCGGTGAATGGCAATCGGTAGTTGAAGTTGATTTTATATTTATAAAAATAATGTTGAGTTGAGGCTTCAGTCATTATAGATAGGCAGGTCGTCTAGAATTTCATCAGTTTGTTTTGTAGCCTATACGGTATTTGGATTCTAATTTTGGTAGTGTTGGCAGATTATTAAAAGCCTCTAAAATAATTATAACTGCCAGCTCATGCTTATTAGAATAGCCTAAGTTAAAATTGTAAATAATTTATTTCTCACTATTCAGTAATAAAAAAAAAATAAAAAAAATGGTAGGCCTAGGCTTATGAACAATTAATTAGGACTATGGTACATTTATAAACCTTGCCCTTCACCCTTTAAATCATAAATTAACTTATCTTTTTCATAGACTTTGATAAGGAAGGTTTTTAAAACCTAGTCAGAATTAATTATGCAGCAAATTCTGTGGGGAAAGTTAGTTTTGGTTTTGGTTGCAATAGTAGCCATTTTACAAGTTGTACATCTAGTACTTTTAAGTCGCCTAGAGGCTCGACACCACATGCATCACCATGTTCATCGAACTGCCTCAAATCCTGGGGACGGTTCTGACTCTCAGATGACGGAGGTAAGTTTAAGTTACCGGTTATCTGTTGTCCTAAGCTTACTCCCTGAGCTAAATATACACTGGAGGTAAACTTAGCACTGAATAAGAAAATTGAGAGACGTTGACGACCATATGTAAGTTACGGTACTTAGGGTAGGTACTGTATCTAACTTAACTTAGTACTTACCTAACTTAACTTACCATTGCAGGCATAACTTAGGTAGGCCTAAGTTTAGACACCTGTGTTCAAATTTCACCAACCACCATGGATTTTATCTAAACGTGTTAAAGCTGCAACACTTTAGGTCTGTGACTTAAGGCATAGCTGTTCAGGCTAGTGCCTATCGCCCTAGGATGTAAAGGAGGGATATAAATAAATACTCAGAGGATACACGTCCGGTAACAGGACGTGGATTAGGCGTCCGGCAGTTACTGTCATAACCTAACCTAACCAACCAAACTTGTTGATAATGAAAAAATCAAATGAAGGTTCAATTCTATTCATAACATAAAATTATAAATGCCAAAAGTTCTAACAAAAGATGTACAGTTAAGAAGAAATTACATTCAAAGCAAAATCTGTCACAAAAAGTTGAAGAAACCGATGGGTTTCGAACCAGGGACCTCTTGGATATCAGCCGAGCACTCTATCCACTACACCACGAACAACGCTGGCCGAACATTGTATCGTTGTGGTAATGGCATTCCGGGACCCCACAACCTGGTGACGTCACTACCGGATGCCTAATCCACGTCTGGTTACTGGACGTGTATCCTCTGTGAAACAAATAACACACCCTGGAATATAAACTTTCTTGCCCAGAGCTGTAGAATCCAGCTTCTGATCTTATGTGGACAGCAGACTTTGTCATCCGTTTTTGCACAACCTATAAGATTCAGAATGTAGTCTAATTTTCAGGAGGTGCTTATTTAGTGACCAAGCTGTGGCCAATCAGCCAACATCAGACTTAGGCCTACGTCCCTTTTTTTACAACTTAAAGGTGGCATACTCGTCAAGTTGTATCTGCAGATTTTTAATAGTCAACGAAGATACAACTTATGCAGACAAGGAAGGATACAACTTGATGTTGACACACCGAAATGCAGCAGATACAAAGACGGTGACCTGTTTTTTGTGGGTGGATTTAATTCCCAAGAGAATGATTTACTACTTGATATAAGGTTATGATTTGAAATCTTTTCTATGTAAGGATCACTTTCCAGGTCGACGCTGTGTTTGGAACCCTTGTTCGTACTGTGGAACAAGGCCGAGTGCTTGATTCCAGCGGAGAGTTCCAAATAGTGCCATCTATTGCAGCAGCCACCAAACAACCCCACCCAAGAGGCCTCATAGCTGCCACGCCTGATATAAGTCTGGTCACACAGTGCTCGTTCAATCACGTTTATCGACTTATTGAGCTATCTCAGAGGTGGCAAGTAGGTTACTAAATTAAAGTAATCAATATTTAAGTTATCACTATCTTCTCAAAGTGATTACTTTTCAAAACAGTAATTCAAGGAATCCTCTCCAGTACAATCACAAGTTGGCCTACATTTCCAACAACTAAAATTGGCTGACCAACTGAATGTTTTTGTGTCAATGATAGCATTTTAACCAAACTGTTTCATTAGAAACATTTTTGTGTGGTTGAAGTGTACGGAAATATAAATTTATGAAATAATGAAGCTGTGATCGAGTTTTTAAACTTGTATGAATGGGACCTGTATAGTGGAATCTAATACTCGAAGACCAGTTAGGCAAGTTTTTTTTTAATTCCCCACTAAGGGACACAAAGTATGCTAGCACATGCCAACTCTTTATCTTTAAAAGTCGCTTAAATGTTAAAAACACTAGGCACTAGGCACATTCAGGGATAGCTATCAAGCTATCACACCTCACTGTCATTTAAACTAATAATGCCTCAATCCCTTGGCCTTTCTCTCCAAGCCCATCAGTGGCTCTTAAATCTACAATCCACTATTCGCCGTGAGGACAAGCAGGTTCGCAAACTCTACTCGAAATTGACCTACCATGTGTTGTGAGAACGAGGCTTCACCCCCACCCACCCAAGTTGTTCGATCATAGTTTGGAAAATGCTGCACTGTGAACAATCTTTAGTTTGATTTAGTGGTTAAACATTTTATCTAATTTAAACTTTTTGGAGAGTATAAAAATTGCAAAACCCATTATAAACAACAAACTAAATTATACAAATAGGCTAAACGTAATTTTTACAAATTTTTGTGTGGTCTCAGTATTTTACCCATACCTTGATTGAGAATTAAATATCACTTGTTTTGGCAGGGTCCGATATCAGTTGCTGTGTTTGCCGAGGATCACCAAGTTTCCGAGGCCCTTTGGAAGGTTGCTGAGCTGAGAGCTTGTATGCCTGGTATAAGACACAACGTCACCTTCGCCCTAGTCTCCCCCCTACCAGCCAAAAGCTCTCCCCCTCTCTCCATGCCTTCCCCCCCACCACCTCACCCTTGCAGTCTTGGTAATGATATAGACACTGTCACCACGTCCACCAACTACGCAACAACCCACAACTATCCAGTGAACTTGCTGAGAAATGTAGCTCGAAGAGGAACTGCCTCCGAGTTTGTTCTGGTTATTGATATTGACATGCTGCCGAATGAAAATCTTCGTCAGGTAAGTATCTAATCTATGTTAGCCCTATAATAAATAGATGTGTTACCTAACTTACTTTATCATTGTAGTATAATATGTAATTAGTTTTCCTAAATTGACCTTCCTAAATTGACTAACATTTATAAACTGATCGGTTAAGGAGACAAGGCGATTTCAGATAGGCCTAAACTCTTTTTCTCTTACGGTTGGAATCAAAGGCTAAAGGTTAAAATACGCACATCGTGTCGTCCCCATCTTAAATAATTGATAATTGTTTAAAAAAGATTACAACAGTAGTTTTTTACGTTGTTGTAACTAGCTGTTACCCACGGGCTTCATCCCGTTTGAATTCATAAGTATTAATAAAACTTTTGATTTGCCAAGTTAAGCTGAAATAAACAAAACAGAATACAGTAATACAAACAAATAATCACAAATTGAAAGAATAGTACCGTACAAATAAGTACAACTGAGGTATTTATAACATTAGGTATAAGGAAAGTTCCCTTTAGAAAGGAATTAAACAACCTTAAAGGACAATTTATGAAATAATGGATAGTTTTGCGCAAGGTTTCGCGTCATGACGAATATTTTAAGTTTATGGTTTATGGGGGTGTGACTTATAGTTTTCTCAAAAGTTCATGGGTACTTTGGGATTTATATATGGATTACTGTTAACTAAAAACATCTTACATCCTGTACAAAAGTGTGTACAACAGTACACACATAATATATTTCTTTAAGTAATTAATGATAGTTTTTCAACCTTTATCCTCACAATTCCTGTGACAATGAGCCAAGCCAAGCCTGGCCAACTATCTGCACTCAGGTAAACATCTTCCGTTGCTTAGCTCATTTCCCATTAATTTTATTATGATTTTGGTTAACCTGGGTTTAGATCTAACAAGATGGGTTAAAAGATTTTTTACTGTAGGCTATATTAAGGAATATCCATAGACAGTTTTTGCTCCTATGGAACTTTAATTAAAATCCCATGGAGAATCAGTGATCTATTGTTACTTATTTATTACCAAGTAGGATTCTGTAAGAATTAATTAGGGATTAATTAGGAATTAATATTTCTAGAAAAAAAAAATTAATACTGATAATCAAATTAGATTTCTTTCAAATTTATGAATTGTTCTCAAGCAGCTTTGGTTCATGTTATATAGTTTTCAATAGCTATTTGGTTACATTATCAGAAAGAATATTTTTTTGATTGCTTTAGCTTGTAGTACGGGTAAAATTGTTGACAAATTTTCAGATTACTATATTAAAATCAACTTACTGCAGTGTTGTAGTAAAATGCCTACAATAAAGATTATGGGCCTTAATTAAAGATTGTGGGTGTACAACAAAAAGGTTGTACACCTAATGGTCATTAAAAGATGGAAAATATTAATTGTAATATAACTATTACTTTCCTTACTTTTAAAATACAATTCAAATCATTCATTAACACAAATAAATGCTACATTAAAACTGGTTTTAACCTGTGCAGGATTTCTTTGCATTCGCATCTCAGAGAGGACTGTTTCGTAAACGAGAACATGATGAAAAGAATGTGTTTGTTGTTCCTGCGTTTGAGGCGAAGGAAGACACACCTGTACCTCGTCACAAGGCAGAGTTGCTGAAGTTGGTGGAAGCTGGGGATGTGCGGCCGTTCTATGTCCAACTTTGCCTCAAATGTCAGGTGAAGTGACGAAATAAGCTTCTGATGGGTCACATGTCAAGTTATATGAATCAGAATCAGTTCTGTCCAATCTCTATCTAGAGATTGCCGTGTTGTTGAACTGGCGAAAATACTGGCTGATTTTTAAAATGCATTGTAGCAATCGATTGTAAACACTGGCCTGTATTTTGTACAGTTCATTGACAATTTGACCAACTACATTGACTTAGGAAGCCTGCCCGACTACATGTTCGTGTCAATACTTATTTACAGAATAAAAAAGTATATATTATTCTAACGCTTTCCTGTATGAGGATGCAAACCATTTAAGTATGTATAATGTAAAGTAGAGATTGCTTCTGTTTCTATCTGTAACTATTTATTCTGGGTCATCTCCACACCATCATCGCCATATTGTTGTTTGGAGGTTAACTGTAAAAAAAGACCATGAGGTCTCAATTGCCTCAATAAAGAAGAATTTTCATTAATTCATTAATTCATCTCCTAAATACCATGATTGAATTTTTTTTACCAAGGAAGGCCACCTTTTGGTTTTGTCAGTTTGTTAATTTATCCAAACCTTTTTCATGTGAAATTAGTAGTAAACATTAAAACGCCCAAGTATGATGATTAAAACCATTTGGGTAGGCTATCTGTAATATTATAGAATTAAAATGTATTTTGTGACTTCAAGAACTATTTGTCTTGAGCGAATACAAAATTCCTAAACCCACTAGGCAGAAAGCCCCTACAGTTCCCTGTGTACAAGTCCCTAGTGTTATTTTACACTTCCTCAAAGTTAACATGAATGGAGCACAACAATTTCAAAATATGTGAGGTTATACTAATATTCATTAACTTATGATGTTAACAGGTGCACACGGATTACGAGTCTTGGCAGAAAGAGCCCCCAGCCCCCGAGCTGGCTCCATTGTTCGAAGTATTGTGGAAGGACCCATGGGAACCATTTTACATCGCCAGGAACACGATACCATTTTACGACGAACGCTTCAAGCAGTACGGGTTCAACAGAATTAGTCAGGTAGGCCAAGTCTTTAGTTAACTCGGAGTCTCTACTCTCAATAAAACAATTAAAAAAGCTGGAAGCTTGTTGAACCCATGTTTTGGAACAAAAACTTACCTCAATAGAAATCTCTTGACAAAAAAAAAATTGAAGTAAAAAGTAAAAAAAGTTGGATGGTAAGAAAATTAAAAAAAATATTGAATTGAATAATTTTACTCAAGGGAACAATTTTGGCATGGAGGCATTTGGTTTGGACATCACTATAAAAACTTGCCTATCAGATGGTTCAATTACTTCTATGGTTCTACTTTCTCTTGTTTTATTATTTTTATGCTTATATCTCGGTTCAATTTAATTATTTGGGACATCTGTTTGGCTCTTGAGATAGTATACGATGTTGGTGATGTAGGCTATAGTTTCATTTAACGGTTAACACATTTTTTGTTATTAATTTCAGACTTTTTATTACAGTACCAGTAGATTTACCCTTGCTTTGGAATGGAGTAGGCCTAATAACGCTAAAAATATTTGATTCTTTAAAGCCACTAGAAAATATTACTAATACTTTACACTTCACCATTTGATAGAAACTCATTCAACTTTTGTACTTTATTGTAGCTAATAATTTATTTATTTAGAGAATGTTATTAAATCATTAATGACGTGACATTTGTCAATATAGTATTATAATAGGTACTCAAAACTAAATGGTAATTTCCATTAAAAAAACAAAATACCCAACCTACCCGATTTCTAAGCTACTTATCATTCAAAGAATAAAGTGGTTTAGTCAGCAACCTACATCTTTTCTTGGATTCTTGTTGATATTTTTTTATGATCATCAACCAAGTTGAACAATTTTGGTCCAATACATTGCAGTGATGTTTCAAATAGTATTAATCTATGGCTAGTAGGATTACTTTAGTTCTTATGTCTAGTGTTTTACATATGGTTTGTGGGATTCTTTTTGAAAACGGACAAGTTGTTGAATACAGAAAATAGCCTACTGCTTCTAAAATATACAGGCTGTAAAATATTAAGACTTGAAAAAAGCCTGAAAGATGATTTTACAACTTCTTAATGCTAAATTATAATTGCCTTCTTTTGAATCCTCAAAGTTTCAGTACTTTCTCGCACTGGAAAAATATTACAAGTAAGTGCAGTCGCAAACGTTTGCCGGGGATAGCTCAGCCTACAATGGCTGGGTAAAGTTCCAGGCTCTGCGATAAGGTCAGGGAAACCACTAGGCCAATAGCCGGGTCTAACCGGTATAGGACAGGCTCATACACGGGCACTGTGAACAAGTCAAAAACAAGTCATCAAAACAAACGTGCAATAATCACCACCAGGCCTAAGCTGATTCTCCACTCTCCTAGGGGGTCGTTGCTGACTACGCAACTCAGGCTTCGTCCTAACTATCTAATAGTTAAGCCCAGAGTGCCTAAAACACAGTGAGTTACACGACGACTTGCCAGTAAAAACCACAACGCGAGTTATCACCAGGCGGGGTCTACTCAGGGCTAGAGATATACAAGGGCTAGGCCACGCGAGCTCAGAAAGTGATGCCAGGTGGCTCCCCACCACTCCGCCGCTGTGACATCACGGCGATACCTCGGGCTCCCGGCACCGTATATCTTAGCCTGTGTGAGCGCTGGTATTACCGCACATTTAGCGTTCATTAAGCTCTATGTTGGACATTTTTTATTAGGTATTAATGTATTTTATAAAAGTAATTGATTTTCAAATAGGATTACGTATAACATCAATTTTAATAAATAAAAAATTATTAACTTTAGTAGATATTTAAGGATGGGAGTGGAATGTAAAGCGATGGCTAACATTACTGTAGTTATTGATCCAATGCATTAAAGTTACTGTGTAATATCTGTGTTCATATTGCTCGAATGTATCTTAATATATGGATTTTTTATTGTATTTGTTTATTACTTATTCATACCTTTTAGGATTCATTGAGGTTATATAAAATACATTGAGGTTGTATAAAAATACATTACCTATACTTAGTATGTTGTAACTTTTACAGGAAGGAAAAGAATTTCAATGAATCAATTACATTTTATTATAGGCCCTACATATTTCAATACATTAAAATAACATATAGTTGCAAAAATACATTCAGTTGCCTGACTAACTAACCTCAATCTCTGTTGACCAATAACTAAAAAGTCGAGTTTTGGTGTGATTTTACTTCATCAGTTTACATTGTGATTTACGTTGTAAATATTTAGTTACGATATTATTTATTGTGCCTCGACTGTAATGTGACATTACTTTTAGAAACTTGAGACACTATTTTTTAGCCAGTTTTTGTGAACTTCATTGACTGTTTACCAACAACGAATATCACGGGTTTGACTTTATCACTTTAATCGTATTTATTAGTTGTAAAAATTGTACTTATTTAGTTTATAAATTGTTTTATGTGGATATACTTACTTAATTTGAGGCCTGGGACATTACATTTAGCCCGTTTTTGAAACATTTCGTCATAAATAACAAACGATTTAATCGCCAAATGAAAAAGGCACAGCAGCATTTTATAGAAAAAACTATAAATATTTATTTTTGTATATTTGTCTTTATAACTATGTATATTCATGTAGGGGAATAAGTTTACTTTCATTTTATATAGTTGGTTTGGGTTTTTAAAATAATATATACGTGTGAATAATAACATGTTTTTCTAGACAAATATAAAGACAAATATTTTAATAAACATTTATTAAAAGTCATAAACATCTATTGAAATGATCAGTATACATAAACAATTCTTACTTTATTTGATCTCCAATGTTATTGCCTAAAAAGTTTTACTTTTACTTTATCTCTTTATAATACATTTTTTTAGTTTTTATTTAAAATTTGTTGTGCAAAATCGTGAAACTTGTCATTTTATTGTTATTGGGCCATAACTTTGTATGGTATGTATTGTAAAATGGTAATTGGAATCTTTTTACATTTCCATGTAGGGAAATAAATTCCAAACAAATTGTATATCTTATGAAACATTTTTGGTTCATGCAGCAATTTTTTTACCTACTGACAATATTTTCTACAATATTTTTAATATTTATTTCGTTGCCATTTTTAAATTCTTCATTTCATTACAAACACTTCAAGTTGGAGATAATAAATACGGTTCGTAGGTTTGATCTGTTGGTTTAATTTATATGCATTTTCGAAAATATGACTGCAAAATCGCCAAAAATGCCTTGCCACTACAGAGTTCGACCTTTGCAAGTTGGAGGGTTAACGAAACCCGCTTTAAAAATCACACTATAAAACTACATTATTATAAACACAATTATTAATATGCGCGTAGATGCCGGGCGACATATGCACTGCCGTGCTAGGCCTCGCACCAATGTATCTCCGCTACGTCACTGAGGAGGGGCAGGGGAGGGGAAGTAGGATCAGGCGGCGACCGCTAACATCAAAGGAGTGAGCCAGCCCTTGTATATCTCTAGCCCTGGGGTCTACTAGGCCACTATAATCCAATACACAACTCTAATGCCCAAGCTAAGAATCAGAAAGTTCACTCAATAGTAATACCATATTATTATATATGGCCTATAGTATACTTGTACTATTGTACAAGTATACTATAGGCAGAGTGACTAAACCTCTAGTAGCTGGTCTCAATAAATACCAAGCCAAACAAGCAAAGCTAAATGTCAGTTGCACTACTATTAAATTATTGAGCTACTTAGTAGCAGATTAATCAATATTAAATACGTTCCAAACACTCGATAAATATATTATTTGATAGCCGGTACTCCGCTATCCAAGCTACCAAACCAACATAACGTGTTGGATTACTAAACAAGCTGTTCAGGTTAAATTAAAATAATCAAATGATTAATCAATAACAACCCTACTGCTACTACTACTACTGCTACTATATCAGCGTTATATTACTTAGCTGGGCTTCTGTTAATAGGCTAATAAAATTAGCTACTAGCCTACTGGCCACGTGCTTCCAACTAGGCACGCCAAATCGTGCAGCCTATGTTTGTCGGGCCTTAGAGTTATTAGTAATGTAACTAACTCTTGGTTCAACGCAAAATAATATCTACTACGGTCAATAAAATATATTATTTGCGCTTTAGCGCATGCCCAGAACCGTCAGGAATATACTTTAGTATTATTCCTGACTAATAAACAAATCCTAATTACTGTCAGGCTTTGACCAGCACGGTTACAACTCTAACTCTCGCAATAAAATCAGAGATTGATATTATCAAACTAATAATATCAACTCCTTAACCAAAATTAAAAGAACGTCGTCCACTCACCAGTAGCGGGTCTTAACCCAACTTAACACCGACACTCACTGTCCACCAGTCTCTCTTCACACCACCAACGTACACAGGACACTCGTCGTCTCCACAGGACACCAACACTAACTTCCTCACTGTCTGGGATCCACGACTCGAATGTCCGTCCTAGGCTACCCTGAACATCTAGGATATCCCAGGCTTATCGGTACTGATAAGCGGGGTCAAAGGGCGCTAGCTAGCTTTACCATATTTGAGTCTTGTCAGGGTTCAAGGTGGCTGTATATTAATTTAAAGGCTGTATATTTGGGGTATAAACCATTTCCACCAAACCAGTCACTTGGAGTGGCCAACTCTGTATCTACTGTGTGCTGCAGGGATTCACCATCGGGTCCTTTGCATAACATCATCGTGCCATCAGCAAACTAAAAGATAACCATCTTTGACATCTTTTGGTAGGTCATTTACACGTACAGTAGACCCCCTCTTAACCGACCCTAATGGGACCGGACCTAGGTCGGATAACTCAAAAGGTCAGTTAAAACGGGCAATTCCTAAAAAAATAACATAATTATTTGCTGTTCATTTGGAATTGTATAATCAATGTTTTGAAGTTGTACTTGCACTATTTATAAAATAAACTACATTTATCTATTTTTATTTGTATTGATAGAAACGTCGCAAAAAAACACAAAACACGGTTACATCAAATACTTTCAGTGGAATAAATTATAGTTGTAGGCAAGGATCAATAAAACTTCTTATTTTAGTTCTGTAATATTAATTGATGCTTGTCAAATCTATTGTAATACAATACAGAACATTTCGTCGAAATTAAAAATACTAGCAAACATTTTATTTCTAGCAAAGAAAATATTGTGATTACGAGTAGGTAGTGAACAAATACGGAGGGACAGACAGGCATCCCATTTTTAAAATAGTGTGGATAGATGTTTTTTTCCAATTCACTCCAAGAAAATTTAGCTTGAGTTAATTTGTCAGCATTACTCTGTCCAGTATTTATAGCAAGTATCAACAGGTTGAATTTCAGCTGAATTGGTGTTTAGGTGTGTGAACTTCACGTTGCGGGATACAAGTTTTCCGTTCTCAACAATGCGTTCCTTGTCCACCGAGGAGTCAAGACTCATTCCTCGTTCCACCCAGAGAAAGATGCAGAACTCGAGAGGAACCGAATGTTATTCCGCCAGTTCAAAATGGAACTCAAGTCTAAATACCCGGAATCGTCTAGACGATGCTACTAAACTTCTGTAACCTTAGTTTTAATTCTATAAAACAGAAAGCACATCTAGTAATACTCTGTGCACTTTTGAAGTAAATAACATATCTACTAGAGTTTAAGTTGTGACAAGTGAACAAGCTTTTTTTGTAATAAAACGTTATTTTGCTGAGCATGATGTAAGTTAATAGGTATTACGGGACATCTTAGTGACTAAAGATCGCGCCACTCATCTACATTCATACTTGGCTAAAAAACCTACATTCGTATGGTCTTCGTTTCAGAATTAAGTATTAAACTCCCTGGAAAATGTGCACTAATGTGGCAAAAAGATGATCCAGATTTTATAAAGCCCGGTTTCCTAGAACTCTTCTACACACTGTGATGTTAAAAGATCTATTCTGACTCTGTCTCTTGGTTAATGTTTCCATGATCAATGCTTAATCCACATTTGTAATTAATTATCTAATGGGGTTTCTATGTGGGATATGTCCCTGATTCCTATTTGGCATCTGCCAAAGATTTAACCCTCTTTAGGCCAGGCCATCGGTTTGCATGTGATGCGCTATGGGCCTGAGTGATAATTGCACCCTTTTTCATGGTGGGGGAATTGTTCTCTTCTTTGCGCCCCTAGGCCCATTTATGTGATGCAGGAAATCATTCAGAAATAAAAGAAAACCAGCAAATAGTGTTTTAACCCTTACAGATTGTTATTTGTCAATTACAAAATTTATCATTACACATTTTATTCTAGATTTTGCAGTTTTTAATTTTTAGGGATCCCGATTTATGAGAGTTTTCTGTACAGTGTTCCTGATTTTTTTTCTAAAGAAAGTATTACATCTTATAACTCTGAATAAATCAACATGATTTTTTTTTTAATTTATAAAAAGTCTTCCACGTAAGTAGCGATTTTTACAAATAATCTTTATGTTCATAAATATGCAAGCATTTGGCTACCTTACAAGTTTTCCGAACCCCAAATAAGTACGTGGTTATATTTTAAAACCCATATGTAATCCTTATATTTAATTCACATGTTGTTATTTTAATCTAAACTATAAATGGTTCTAAACTGGACAGCACTTATATGAGCAAATATTTTCTAGCTGTACAATTGTAATCAAATTTAGTTTGAAAGAATCTGTGATATTAATTACGTAGTGTAGAGTTAATGTACATAGAATTACCCAAACAAGTGTTTTGACAAGTGGTTTTAAATGTCTAGTAATAATCAAATTCGACGAAACAAATATCTAGTACAGTGAAATTAGACCTTAACCTTAACATCTAAAGTGAAAGCTAACCTTCAACGCCAAACTGCTCAATATAGTTCCCATAATGTACCGTTAAAGTTACACCATTCTGAGCACTGGGTTTAATGGAAGTTTAAGTTGAAAAATTAGCAGATTTTTGCTTTTCATGAAATGTATGGAAAAACTATGTTTTCAGCACAAAAAACTTCATTTACAAAAATAAACTTCCCAACTTTAACCCTCCTCTACACCCAAACCAGACGCTCGAAGTGGTGTAAATGTTTACCTGACATTACGGGGACTATATTGATTAGTTTGGTGTCGAAAGTTAGCTTTCACTTTGAATTTTTAGGTTAGGCGGTGTGTTTTTGGCTAATAGCGCCGTATTTATTTTACAAAATATTGTGAATCTTATTTTTATGCACTGTATTTTGTTAAAGGACAAAAATTAGTTTATGTCCTGTTGTTTTGACAGTACTTTATTCAGATCTCAGCACAAAACTTTATGTGCCATGATGGGGTTGTGATTGTAACAATATTAAAATTATATGTTTGTTTAGTCCACCATTTGTATGGTTAAAGTTCCAGATTTTATTTTATGCTATTGTTTGTTTATGACGTCTCTAAGCCAGTTTTCAAGGATTCTGTGGTGAACAGGATTATCAGCAGATGGATCAAATATGTTGGTGAATAGATTTCTGAATAATTTATTTAATTTGTAAAGCTTTGTGTTGGACGGAAGAAGAAAAAAAATGCTATGATGTCCAGTCTATGTGGTTCGGTTGCCATTAGAATGTCATAAATGTGATTAACTATTTTTTACAGTTGGCAAAATTTGTGTGTGTCTGATAAGTTTTTAATCTATTCCCGAACTTTTATAATCCTGCTGCTAATCTAGTCTACGATAATTTAGTTAATATTAGTTACTTACCTGTGTGATTTTAGACATTTTACTTACACCAGTATTATGTGTTCATTAACCTATTGCTTTTACGACAGCTTTCTAATTTATAGATTAGGTTTAAGTAAATGCACCAAAGATTTGTGTACGTGTGTATACACTAGTAATTATTGTAAGTTTGGTATGTAGAATCAATCAATGTACAATGTAGGAATAATTTATTTGACTGAGGGTGTGACACGTGACAGTGTATTAATGATACAGTTGTGTAAAATACAGCTAAAGTTTGTTTATGTTGATTGTTATTTGCTTGTGTCCGTTATACTTTTGCAAAAATTAGTTTTCCCATTTTTACCCTCAAAACATAACATTTTGCAACTTCTTTAAAAAAAAAATGCGGAACTAAAACAATTGTATATTGAGACTTTTTTGTACAGACAATGAATAGTAACAGAAAAAAACTTTTTAATTAAAATTCCCATATTCTTATGGAGAATAGATGTTGTAGTTTGTTTGTTAGATTGTTAGATTTGTTTTATTGAAATATGGAATTTGACACAATAGAGGACTCATTCAAGTAAAAGAAAATTAATGGAAATTCACTCAGTCTGCAGATTTGAAGCAGCTGGGGTATTTCTTTTATTTGATTAACTAAAAGATTACGTGAGAATGATCAATGAGGTGTCTGATATCCTTTTTATAGGACTGAAAGCGAGTATATTGACTGGGTTTAGGTTGTCTTGGTGTAAGTTTTGACAAAGTATTATTGTCAGTTGCATTGTGTTTTTGCAATTTATTGTAGATTATTTTTGTAAGTAAAATATTTTAAGCTATGTCACATAGATTACAAGATATTTTATAAAAAGAAAAAATGTAATTTTTTTGCATTAGGCCCCACCTCCATCCCCCCAAACAAAATTCTCAAAATGGTGTAAATTTTGAACATAACATTGCCAATTACAGTTTAGTATTTTATAATATGTTTTACAATTTTAACTAATGAGAAAACTGTCACACCTTCTAGTACTATAGCTCAAACAGTATTGAATAATTGATAGAATTGTAAGTAGTATTTTATTATTTTTCCTATTGTATATTTTTTGTTACTCAGTTAAAGGAAATAAAGAACAGTTTTACAAAAAAAGTTCATTTTCTGCTGTGTACAGTGTTATACATTACTGTTATTCCATCACAAATGTTTTCCTTTTTACAAGTCATTAGTTGCAGTTTGTTAATGAGGGGTACATGCCTTTAAAAAACCCCAATATTCAATGTTGAGAATTAATTCCAAATACTATATAAACTTTGTAATAGAGAGTAGTCCATCAAATAGTGAAACAAAATACATGGTTTAGTTTAAGTCTTGACAAGCAAGCATATGCATTCACCTAATGTTAAGGAAAAATACCCTTTTGATCGTCTTAACTCGTTATTGAGATTCAGAAAGTAAAATATTTCTTCAATGAGGAAAACTTGAGTGGCTTAAAGGTGAAGACTTGAAAAGAAAATTAAAGAGGTTTGGCCATTTATTAAAACTAGAGGTCGTCCCTTGGTCGAAAACTCGACCAAAAATATGTTATTTACAGTCTTCTTTATTTTCACCCCACACTGTAAATAAAACATATGTTATTAGAATTTCTTACATTTGTTTTGATTTTCTGTTTATGATTCGTTGTTATTTCGTTACCAGCATGGCAAACCATAAAACCCATGTTAAATTTTTAAAATTCCAAATTCATTTTTTGTGCTTATTTTTGAGCCTATTAGAATTTTTAAAGGGATTCTGCACATCTACAGGAAAATATATTTCTAATAGTATGAGTAGATTTTGCCTACGATGCACACGAGCTGAGAAAAAAGGTTTTAAAGAAACATGCTTGCATATTAATATATAGATAGATAAGATTAGAACAACTTTTAACAGGCTTTTGATTGATACAAATATAAACAATTTTAAAACAGGTCTCCAGCCGATAAATGCCAATGGTCATTATGGAAACAAACATATTTAAAGCCACTCAAACATAATTTACACTTATCCACTGAACAAAGTGTGGATTTTGCTACCCAAGCTATTTATAATACTGAAAGATAAAACTAAGAGAAATACCACACTAGCTTTTTCTAATAGGTATAAAGAGTACTACTTAGTTTTATGAAGTAACTTTCTATTATAGCCATAATTTTGATTTCAAAGTTTTATCTTGAGGTAAAAATATTCAAAAACTCTCATTAAGAAGTCTCAGGTCACAAAGTTTGAACATTACTGGAGTTGTTACCGACTTCCTGTAATAATTATAACTATCAGACCTCTACCTTTGTAACTCGGGATTGTAATTGTCAAAGAGAGCTCATTTGCGGAGAACAAATCTAGAAGTCTGATGAGCTTAACAAAGAACTCCAAACTCTAATTATTTTGGTAGTATTATGTCATAGATTGATAATTTCAGAAAATTTAGTCATAAAAATGTAGGTATTTTTATTTATGATAAAAAACCTTATACTCTAGGAAAAGGAATGAAAACCATTCTTCATGAAGTAATTTCAATTGTTTTAAAACTTAAAAAAATAATATATTACAATAATTGTTGTTGATAATATTTGGTTTAAATAATAAAATGGTTAAGATTTATTATTATTATATACAATTTGGTCTACTATTGACTTAGGAAACTGCAAGTAACCTCCAAATCTTATGACATTGTAAAAAGTAAAATCTGAAGACTTGAACTATTATATGGTTCTTCCATGCCTATTTGGTTAGGTATTTATTTTATTTTATTTACATATAAATAGGTTTATATAATATACCTTGCGTCATAAATTCTTTAGTCTTGGGCGACTAGTTTCGAAACAGTGAAATTTTCA